ACCAGTCCCTGGAGAAGGACAGCGTGCTTGGTAGAGGGGCAGCAAAAAAAAAAAAGATGAAGACCTTCGACAAGACAGACTGACAGCATGGCTGCAACACTGGGCTCGAGCATCAGAACAGTTGGAGGGATGGCCCAGGAGCAGGCAGCATTTCGTCCTTCATACGGGTCGCTACGGTCGGAACCGACTAGACAGCATCTAAGCATGACAGTGTAAGTCAGCTGATGAAAATCAAAGACTGCATGCAGCCTTCGGTGGGGATTACAGCTCAGTGTCAGGAGAACAAAACCCCTCACAAGTGGACCACCAGACCACACTGTGCTAAGCAGAGAAAGACAAACTGCCAGAGAGTTCGTGTGAACTGAGGCCACCATCGATGTCCACGGCAGTGGCCATCAGAACATCGCTGCACTGGGCAGACCTCTTGCACAGACCCTTTTCAAGTGTCAAGAGCAAAGATGTCACTCTGAGGACAGAGGTGCCCCTGACCCCAGCCAGGGTCTTTTCCATCAGCTCCCACACACGTGTGAGCCGGGCAGTAAGGAAGGTCGGAGAAGAATGGAGACCTCTGAATGACGGTGCCGACAGCACGGTCTGCCTGCAGGACCACACGTCTGTCTGGGAAGAAGGCCGGCCAGGGCGCTCGCTGGACGTGCCAGGAGAGACCAGTCCCTGGAGAAGGGCATCGTGCTTGGCAACGGAAAGGGCAGCAAAGGAACAACTGTGAGGACGTGCAGGGCCGGGCCGCGTTTTCATCAGTGGTGCTTCCGAGTCAGAACCGACTCGATGGCACTTGGCGGCGGCAGCAACGTTGAGTGGAGCCAATTCAATGGCGGGGGCACTGGCTTTGGGGAATCTGGAACTCACGGGGGTGCCATGGCTAGAACCCACTGCAACTTACGGTAGAAAAGTCACCCACAGACCCCCCACGGTGTCTCAGGTAGGACTCCGAATCAGTGTTGTCAGAAAAGTTGATTTTGCAATTAGCCGACATTTGTTTGTTTCCACCTGAGGTTTACACCATTTCTAACAGCACTGAGGCACTGCTCACAGACAGAACGCAACAGATAAAGCAACACCGCCCTTTGTCATCGGTGTGTTGCGGGCTGTCGGTGCCGCACGGTGCCCGCCTTGGGCTTGGGAGGCGTCATCATCTCAGCAGCAGACTGCTGGGGAGCCACGGGTGGGGGGGTGTCGCGGGGGAGTTTCTGTGCCTGCAATCTAATGGTTGGCAGCTGAGTGCTTAATCACTGGGCCACTGGGCTTCCCCTGTGTCTGTAGCACACATGTGCATGAACCCCCGCACCTGGGCCTGTGGGTAGCTCTCCTGCAAGGTCACGCCAGGTATTGGAGTGGTGGGTGAGTCTGTGTGTGCAAGTACATGACGGGGAGCTGCGCTGGTTGGAATCCCCCGTGCTCTGCCAAGCTCCTGCGCACACACCGGGAGTGACTGCCTGAGGGGCGTGCTCTGGGACTGCACAGCTGTGCAGCACTGGCCTGGGGAGGGCGCCCACCATGAAGGGCGATGGAGCACTGTGGGTGAGCCCACCTCCAGCTTCTCTGTGTGCCAGGCCTCGGAAGCTGGGGTGGGGGGTGGGGCAGGGGACAAAGACACAAGGACCCTGTATGTCCCAGTGCCCAGGGATGCAGTGCATCCATCTTGAGTGACAGGGCCCACAGCCAGGGTGCCTGGGACACTTGCAATGCTGAGGATCTGGCCACGTGTCCTTTTACCAGAGTCTATCAGCCCACAGCGTCCAGTGGGTCACCTGTGCAGGACCACAGCCTGCTCCTCCAGAGCCCACCCTGTACTCGGGCTCTGCTGGAGGAAGGCCCACTGGTGGGCTGACGTGATGCAGCTGCAGGGTCAAGGGGTCCCTGCTTGGCTCCCTGTGCTGTGTAACTCCAGAGCCTGCCTGTCAGTGACTAACCCCAGGCCCTCCAACTGAGCAACGATGAGAATGTGGGGCACCGAGGGAAAAGGGGCCCCTTGCTCTGCTCCATCTAGCCTCTATGCTTGCGTCCAGCAGGGGCTTGTTGGTGGCTGTTAATTTTAGGGCACTCCATGCCCAATGGACTGAAAAAGGCTGCTCGGCCCAGTGCCACCCCAGTATCAGCAGTAGGCTGGGTCACTGTGAGCCACAGGTTCTCAGAAGTCAACTGCCAGGCCTGTCCTCCTAGTGCACAAGCTCCACTGAAACCTGTTTGGCATCATGCCAGACTGACAGGTGGTGGCTGGACAGGAGGTGGACTGGGTCTCCCACACGGGGCTGCAGTCCAGAAAAGGCCCGAGCCCCACTCAAGCCTGGCAGGGGCCCATCGGTGCTGCTCTCCCTCTGAAGGCTCTCTGTCCACAGGACCTAGATGTTCACCCTAGTCAGCCCCTGCCCTCTGCCTGCTGGTGCTGACCACTCGGGCCTCAGGGCTCCCATCTGAAGAGCAATGGTCTGGAGAGCGTGGAGGCTGCCGAACTGCAGCCTTGAGAACAGACCCAAACTGGCCTCTGCCTGTGGGAACAGCAGGTCCCAGATCTAAAGCCTATGGTATGCCCCAACCCCACAGGTCCCAAGACCCCTGGCTGCGGTATGCCCCAATTCCACAGGCCCCAAGACCCCTGGGAAGGTCCTGCCTTCTTGCCCCAAACACCTAGCACCATCCAACTCCCAAGAGGGAGACCCCCAGGCTCTACGTAATTCAGCCCACCAGGCAGAAGGCTGGGGGGGGGATGTTGGGCCCTATGGTGCTAGAGGCTCCAGGTCACTCCAGAAGTCATGAGCTTTTGACGTGGACACAGAGACACTGGGTAGTGTCCCGCAATCCAGCTGGCAGGGTCTGGATGCAGTAGACATGTAACACGCACTGAGACCGAGGGGTTACCTCCAGGCAGAGGAGGGTAAGGCAAGCCATAGGGCAGGGCAAGCCTAGGCTTCCCCGGCAGAACCCAGCAAGAACCCTGAGCAGGGAACAGGCTCTGCCTGCCAGGCAGCTTTCCTGGTCCTCCCTGGGCCCTTGGGTAAGCTGAGGCCTGCAGGCAGATGCTGGGAGTACAGGGGGCAGTGCCCACCTGGATGCAGACCTAGCACCAGAGCAGCTCACAAAAGAGAAAGGTTCAAGGAAGCCCAACCCCCGCCCCCCCCCCCAACTCCAGAGGAGTCCCCAGAGCCAGGGGCTACTACTGCTATTAACCTCCCCCCACCCCCCACCCCCGCCCACTGGGGGGAGCTGAGAGTATACACACAGGCCATCAGGGACTGGGCACGAAGGCTCTGTGCCATGAGCCTGAACCCCAAGTCACTGCCCCACACTTTATTAGAGCCTTGGCCTGGCCACTCCCAGCCAGGCCCTCTGCATGCTGTCCCTGCAGCTCTGAGCACTGGCCACCGAGAGCTGGGTAGAGAAGAACTGCCCCCTTCACTCCCCATCCCTAGATACCTGGGGCTCTTTTCTCACCAGGGGACAGTCATGTGAACACCCAGGCCCCAGTCCACCCTACTTCACAAGAGCCTCAGCAGGTAGTCTCCCGGGAGGGACAGGACAGGCCCCCCAGCCTGACACATAGCTGCACTGTGACCCTGCCCCACACACCCCCAGCCCAGCACTTGAGGCCCCACAGCACCATGGACACAGCAATGCCACTCGCTGCTCCCGCGGGCCATGCACCTGAAGCATCCCGAGGTCATCTGAGCTGGGCAAGAAGTGGAACCCATTGACTCCTGCCACGTGTCCCCACAGGCCCGTGTGTAAACAACGCCTCATTAACCGGACAGGCAGGCACCCCCACACACACACACCCCCACTTCCTTCCTGAAAGGCAGTCAGTAGGCCGCACACAAGGATCAGCAGCCCTGGGGCCAGACCGATGGGCTAGGGGTGGGTGGGTGGATCCTCTGAGGAGGAGCAGATGACTGCGGGGGAGGGGCTGTCTACACTTTAATTGCTGGGCTAGGATAAAACACATACATGCTCACTGCCACCTTTAAAACACACGGGGAGAAATGAACCTGTGATCTGGCCACGCTGACCAACACTGGGAGCAGTTGTGCGGCACTTGCACTTTTTTCCTAGAAAGAACAAAGACCGTAAACCCACGGACCAAGGAGTGAACTCCAATCACAGTGACCCTACAGGGGAGGGAGAACTGCCCCACAGTGCCCACAGCTGTCCCCTTGGCCAAGGCAGGTGGCATGCACCAGGGTGGTCGGGGAGCAGCCTTAACCACCAGGCAGGCCCCGGGGCCCTTGCATGAGTGCCAGGCAGGCTGTCGCTGTCAGTGGCCACGGGTCAGAGGGCACGGCCCCTCTGGGTTCTCCAGGCGGCGACCTTCCAGAAGCTGGTCACCAGGCCGCTCTCCCACAATGCCAGGGTAAGTTTGAACCACCGACCTCTGCTGGAGTGGGCACCGAAGCACCTGGGGCTCTGACAAGGCCACCTGGCCCTTCCACTCAACGTAGCAGCTCTCCCTGCATGCCATTCCCAAGCAGCACCACACATTGACCCACACTCCCCTGCTGTGGGACCCTAAGGTTCCTTCTGCCTCGTGTGACTGGGGCTGGGGTCGGCCCTTGGTCCACCTCTGGGCTGCCCTCTCAGGGATTGTGGGCACCCTCAAGCCTCTCTGTGGCTGGCTCCCGTCATGTAGGTCCTGAGCCACAGCACCCCCTCCCCCCCCACCCGACAGACTGCAGACCCCACAGCGTTTCTGTGGTTGTCCTTGTGGCGGGAGCAGCTGGCCAACTGGCCTTTGCCCCTGGAGGGTGGGTGGGTTCAAACTGATAACCTGTCTGTTAGCAGCTGTGCCCATCCCAGCTGCACTCCGCACCTACTGCCAGAGCACCCTTCCCACCGAGAGCAGAGCCACCAGCCAGTGTGCCCGGGTGCTGCCGCTACTGTCTGCTCCCTGGTGCTGCCCGGGTGCTGCCCTACTGTCTGCACCAGGCACCCAATGCTCCTCTAGTGAAAGGCACCTCCTCGTGTGTCCTCGCTGTCCCCAAGTGTCCTACCTTGTTTTTGAAGTGCACCTCAATGGGCATGATGAAGCCAGCGTAGCCCGACTCCTCCACTTTGTAGGGGGGCTCCTTACACACTGAAAGAAAGGGAAACACAGCCGTCAGCCTCCTGTAGCATTGCTGGCTGCGTGAGGCTCCGGGTCTCTTGGCCTCTCAGGAGGCTGGGCTCACCTAGAGATGTGGACTGTCACACAGAAGGGAACAAAGTGGCGAGGAGGGGCAGAGAGCCTCAGAAGTGGGGCATGCAGGGGAGGGTGTTGGCCTATGTTGTTCAGGACGATGCTGAGGCCAGAGAAGTGGCACAGCCCCAAGGGCCCCCTAGTCCAACTGGCCCAGGTCAGCTGTGCAGAGTGCACCACCAAGTCCCTGGAACCGGGTCACCCGGGTGTAAGCCAGGGGCAGTCGGTGGTGATTCAAGAGCCCAGTGACCCCCCACTAAACTCAGAAATGCAAGCACAGACAGAAAGATGATATTTTATGACTCGGTGAAGTTCAAGCAAACCACTGTCAACTGACTGGCGCATGTGCCCTCATCATACAAAACCTAAACCCTGCCCATTCCGACTCTCAGTGACCATGGGGCAGGGCAGAGCTGCCCATGTATCTCTCTGGGGTCAGCTGGCCACATCGTCCTCTGTCCGGGGCTGGTGGGTTGGGACTGCTGATCTACCTGGCAGCAAGGGGGCCAGCAGGGCACCCTTCATGATGGCGGGTGGTGGTGAGATATGGAAATACAGGTCTCTCCTTTTAAGAACCAACCAACAACAAAAATCAGACTATTCTCTCCTTCCGCCCTTTGCTCTCCAGAAGTGACCCGTTAACAGTAGACCAACACCCCCTGCAGTCTCCGTGCTTTTACAAGCTTGTCTATCTGTGGGAGACGCATTGGGCTAAATGCTGTGCTGTGGGATCCCACCAACTCCTCGGTGGGAGGAAGAGGAGGCAGTTTGCTCCCTAGAGGCACAGGCTCGGGACCTTCTGGGCCATCTCTGCTCTGGCCCATGGAATCTCAGGGGCCGGAATGGGCTCGGCGGCAGGGAGGCTGGGGTATGTGAGAGGGCGGTGAAAGAGCAGAAGGCCCGTCGAGCTAGACAGACACAGCACAGGGACCACTGAGAGGACAGCGTAGGGCCGGACAGTTTCCTTCTGTTGTGCCCCCGGCTGCTATGGGCTGGAACCGACTAGTTGGCACCGAACAAATATACCGGTTTGGACCCGGTACAATGATGTGGAAGGGGACCAGAAGTTGTCAGAAATGCTTTATGAGACAATAAAACATGTCTGGCTTTTTTCCCACTAAAGCTTATTGTATGACTTTTTTAAGGCCTCTTTGGCGCTCACATCTAACTCATCAAGCCAAATCAAACCCAGGTGCCACCAGGCCCACTCCCACCCAGGACGAGTCCAGGGTCAGATTTGAGCTGCACTTTCAGAGGCGGCTTTGTTGAAGTAGACTGCCAGGCCTTTCTTACTCAGTGCTTCCCAGTGGACTCGAACCGTGAAGCCTTTGGTTTGCAACTGAGCGCTTAACCGGCTGTGCCATCCCCACGGGCTCTCCAACACGAAGCGGTCAGCAGGGTCAGCTTGGTGACCTCACAGGGGCAGGGCTGGTGGGCCGTGGCAGAGGAGCGGGGAAGGGGCTGGGGCTTCTGCATCCAGAGCTGCAAGGACGAGCTGCATCCCTTTCTCCTCCCACTCAAACCTACTGCCGTCTTGCTGGGGATAACTGCTCTCCCCACCGTCACCCCCATGTGCAAGCACATACTGGAGGCCTCTGGAGGGCAGGGCCTCCCAGCAGCAGGCCCCGTTGACAGGTCCAGGGCTGGCACTCTCCACTCGTCACTTGACACCTGGCCCGCCAGCCCGCCTGCAACAGAGAGCCACACAAACACTGCAGAGCAGGCCCAACTGGTGGGCGGGGGCATCCCATGAATACCCACCAGGCAGGCTGTGGGTGAAGCATGCAGACCTAGAAGAGAGGCGGGGCCGAGATGGTCCACACTGCACGGGGACTGCTGCAGGGCTGTGGGTAGCCCAGGGGCCAGGGAGCTGCAGGGCCCAGTACCCCCTCAAGGGTGGGCACAGAGATTCTTTTTGGGATGATAAAATGCCCGGGAGCTTGACAATGGTGATGGTCACACCCCTCCGTGAATGTAACGAAAGACACAGAACTGCACTAACCCAGGGTGAAGGGATGAATCTCAGTCAGGTGATTATTTCAAAAAGGAACAGCTGAGCCAATGGAAAGGCTGTCTGGGAAGCAGCAGACCCGGGGCCACCTGTCCTTCTACACAGGTCTGGGCCATAATCCAGCAGTCCATGCTAGAGAGAGCTAGAACTTACAGTATGACACCGGGCATAGGCCACACAAACAACTATGCCAACCGCCACCTGGTCAGTTCCAACTCCCCCGGTGCCACGCTGCTGCGTTACAGGACGGGGCTCTGGAGGAAAGGTTTCCTGGCCGTCACCGGCAGGAAAGCAGATCGCCAAGCGTTCCTTCCGCAGTATACGGCTGGGTTTCAACCATCAACCTTAGCTGAGCAGTTGAACACAACCCTCCTGGGCCACCCAGGCTCCTCCCCAGAAGCCCTCCTCATTTGTGGGATGCGCCTTCCTAAACCAAAGGCTGCTGTTCAACCAGACCCTCCTGACCCCTGCAGAGCACTGGGTGGGAGAGGAGCCCAGAGAAACCAATCATCCGAGGCCACAGGAGAACCTGGGGGTGGAGGCCCAGCCTCAGATTCAAGGAGACACATCCGTTGCAGAAAAACAAGAAACCTGGAAACGGGAAAATCAGAAGATGCCTGCTGAATCGGACCAGAAGAGCTAGCTGGTGCCCGGCGACCATTACCAAGCACTGCGAGAGGAGGAGAGGCGGGACAGAGGGTCATGTTCTCCAAACCTGAGACACTCTGGAGCCAGCAGGGCTGAGATCATCTTGAAACCTTAGTACAAAAACAGGCCCAGAAGTCTTCTTAGAACAAACAGTTGTGTCGCTGAATCCGTGCAATAGCGTCGGCCTGAGTGTCATGCTTGTCTGGGGCTGAGCTCTGTGTGAGTAAACTGACAAAAGCGACCTGGAAGGTTCGATGGGAAATTTGGGCAGCAAGTTTACAGCCAGAGGAAGGTACGGCTCAGAAAAGGCGGAGGGGACGGCCACACAGCTCAAAGGATGCCATCAATGTCACTGGAGTGCAGACCAGGTTAAACTGTGCTACGTTCTGCTGTGTGTATCTATCAGCCAGACAAAAAAGAGCTCTTTCTGCAAACCCAGCCCGAAGCCATCGGGTCGCGTCCAGCTCCGAGTGACCAGACACAGGGAGGGCCTCAAGACGGCCCATTTTACAGGCGCAGAGAGCTTCATCGTTCTCCCAACACCCAGCCCACCATGCCACCAGGGCTCCCTTATGAGCGCTGCGCCATCCCACGAACACCCACTCCTCACCCCGCCACGTGGTCAGGCCTCCAATCAGTGTGAGGGGAAAATGGAGAATGACCACGTCAGATGTGCCAAGTCTCCGAGAACCATGTCCCGGGCAAGCTGACACATGCCCTCACCCAGCGCAGCCAGTTACTCTTGCTTTACACCTCAGCATTCCTGACTGCCACACACATCCTTCACGTGCAGAAGGGCCAGGTAGCAGCGCACTACTGTCCAAGTGAACTGTCGGGTTAAGGAAAGTATGGGGCACATGTGGCACAGAGCACACAACAGGGGCACACACATGGGGCATGGGGCACAAAGAGACATGGGTATGCAAGGCAAGGGGCACACAGCATGAGTGTGTGTGCAGCGTAGGCATGGGCACTTAGCACAGGCACACACGGGGAATGGGCACACACATGGGGCACGCAGCACAGGGTCTCAGGACGCAGTCATAGGTAGACTGCTTCTGGCAGTTGTGCTGCGGCTGCATGATCTGCATGATGGGGATGGGGTCCAGTCAGAGGCTCCATGGGAAGAGACCCTACCCAGAGCTGTTGCCCCACGAGCCCACAGTCCCACACAGACTGTGTGTCTAGGCTCTGTACAGAGGCCCTGCACGGCAAAAAGGGGTAAAGCACCAGGGCGTTAGCTAAAAGGCATGCAGTCCAACTACGTCCTCAGGCACCTGGGAAGAAAAACCTGGTGACCTGCCTCGGTCAGGATCACAGCAGGAAAGCCACACAGGGGCGCGTGCGCGCGTGTTCTACTCTGTCCCATGAATCAGTCCCTGGCACCCAACAGGCTCCAAAAATGCGTCCTTGGGTGGTGCGCACAGTTAAGCACTGAGCTACCCCCTGCGGGTCTAATGGTTCTAACCTCCCCAGGTGCCTCCAAGAAAAGGCCTGGCATGCTGCTTTTGAAAGTCAGAGCCACGGAAACCCTGCACAGCATAGTTCTACACTGTAACACACGGGGTCGCCATGAGCACGGCTCTGGTGCACCAAGAGACAAAAACAGCAGTAGGCAGGTCTGGCCCAGGGGCCCCGAGTTCAGTTCACTGGGCCTGGCTTCTAAGCACAACCAGCCTCTTGGGCCCAGGGCGGGAACTGAAAGGGTCGGCCATGGCAATGAGGGAGGGGAGACACCCCAAGATGCACTGGTCCCACCTGCGGGCCGGGGTGCACTCACCGCGTTTGGGCTTGGGGAAGCTGTCGTGCAGCCAGAAGACCACCTTCTCCACGAAGTGCTGGATCTCGCACTGCTCGGGGCCGCGGACAAACACCATCCAGTCATGGGTGAAGCCCTCCGTGGTGGGTTTCTTCCGCAGCTGGGCACGGTGTCCCAGCTCTAACTTGACCTGGACGGTGCACTGCAGGGGAAAGAGGCAGGACAGGTCAGGCTCCCCACAGCACTCTCTCGCCACACGGTCCACGGCCAACCCGGAGACCCACGGGGGTTGTAGGGCACCCCACCTGTGCTGCTGCAGGGGCCTGGGCACACAGTACGCCCTGGGACAGAGCAGCACTGCCCACGGAGCTCTGTGGGTCAGGTCACCAGCTCTATCGCCCAGGGAACCACAGACTTTTGGGTTCACAGCCGAGCATTTAACCACTGTGCCACCAGGACTTATCAGGCCTGTGCCCAGCACTATATACACGGAGCCCTCTGTTACCGCCACCCTCACACACCCTCCTGAACACTGTATACACAGGAACACAACCACCACACCCCCACAACATCCAAGCCACTGTATACACAGGACTGCTCCCACCCCCCAATTACCACCATATCTGCACAACATCCCAACCGTTAAATACACAGGGCCTGCCCCCCCCCCATTACTACTTACCCACACAACGTCTCGAGCACTGTATACACAGTTACCACTCCATTACCACCATGCCCCCACAATGTCCTGAATCAGCCCAAACCCTCAGGTTCTGGCTCCCCTTTCATTCTCCTGTTCATTTTCACTGGCAAGCCCCATTTCCTCCCATAGAGCCCTCTGCCCGGGATGCACATCGCCTGACCTGCACCTGGCTGGTTCCCTTGGGATGTGCTCCGACAGCCTGTCCCTCACTCTGCCATGCCCACACGGCCCTCCCAAGGGCCTGTCCCCTTAGTCCCCGTCACCATCCCCATGCCCCTGATGGAAACACACACATCCCCCTCCCCGTGGAAGGTCACCAGAGCCACCAACAAGCACTGGTTCTCGGGGGCTGCCAGTGGGCATCAAAAGGAAAGCTACTGGTGGCTGGTCACAGGACTGCTCTGAAGCCAGCCCCCCACCTTGGACACAGAGGCTCAGCTACCACTCCCTGCAGAGCATGCTCCACACCTAGGGTCAAAACCCACTCATCCACTCTGGTGCTGAGAGCCCCGACTTCCCAGAGACACCGTCCCACCCCGGCATCCAGTTCAAAGGCCATGGGGACACGTGCTTCCTACAGCTAAGGTGACTGGCAATACCCCAGTGGGTGAGCTGAGATGGCTCCTTCTCACCAGCTGCACTGGAGGGCAGAGAAGGTTGTTCCATCATCCTTGGTTGGACCTGGAGGTACACACCACCTTTGGAGCAGCTACCCCACTGCCCCCTGTCTCTTCCTGTTCTCAATAAGGATGGAGAGGAACTCCCTTAGTCTCCCTTGGAGGTGGGCCACTTTGACCCTTTGGGAGACAGAGTGGGCCTTACAGGCCCCAATGAACTGCCAGGAGTCACGCAGACACGATCTCAGTTGGCAGTGGGCTCAGTGTGTAACCCCCAAACTGAGGAAAATAGGAAAGCCTCCACTGTTGATGTTGGGGGGAGATCCCTGGGTCCTGAGGGGCGCAGATAATCACATTTCTCTCTGTGGGGCCAGGTGGGTTCAAGCACTGACCTGCCGTGCCGCCAAGGCGCTCTGCACACCCACTGCCAGCTGATGCAGACACCACCCCAGGGTGCCCTGCATGTGCCAGAGTAGAGCTATGCACCTCAAGGTTTCCGACAACTGAGTTTTCAGAAATAGACTGCCAGGTCTTCCTTCCAAGGAAACCGGGGGTGGACCAGAACCACCCACCTTTCTGTTAGCAGCAAGCCTTCCCAAGCTCCCTGCCACTGAGCCAAGGCTGACTCATGGCCCCATCCTCCCTCCTACCCCCAATGACAGTGCGGCACATCATCAGGTTTCTCCTTCAGGGTGGCTGGTGTGTCCCAACTGCCACCCTTCATTCAGCTGAGGTGCTTAACCACTGCACCGCTAGGCTCCTTCTGCACAGCACTAAACCAACACCAAACTCACTGCCATCAAGTCCACGCTGACTCACGGCAACCGCCCTGTGGGCTGCTGCGACTGTAAATGTGTGTGAGTAGAAAGACCATCTGTCTCCCGCACAGCTGCTGATGGTTTCGAACTGCTGACCATGCAGATCACAGCCCAATACGTAACCACCACACCACCAGGACACCAAGACCAAACTCCCTGCCACTGAGGCGATTCTGACTCATAGCAACCCTGTAGGGCAGGGGCCCCTAAACCATAGGACCAGCCTTCGCCACCTCCCCACCAAGGGCAACATTCACTCCTGCTGTCCTGTCCCCTCATCCTCAGCTGGGGCTCCATCTCAGCTGCCTTCTGTCCCACCTCCTGAGCTTCCCACTGGGGCCAAGCCACCTCCTGTGCCCTCGGCAGGTGTCCATTACTCCCACCCCCATCTCCATGCCCTCTGCCAGTATGTGTCCAGCTCCCCAAGTGTAATTCCCATGTAAAACCCCTGAGTCTGGTCTCCCCTGCATCTCTAAGAGCAATGGACCACAGCTTGTTTGTCCTTGTCATCATGCTTGGAACACAGCACCCAAGGCCTTAGGACAGTGGAGTCATTAGACCTGGATTAGGGCTAGGGTCGGGCAGAGGAACGGGCCCAGGTGGACTGCCCAGAGGGTGAGCCTTAAGCCTCGGCCTGAAGCTCTCTCTCCCTGACATCACCTCTGAAGGTAACTGGAATCGAGCCCAACGAGTGCAGATGGCCCTCCTGAGCGGAGGCTCCTGTAAGGGCTCAGTGGGTGGAGTCTATTGGCACAGCCACTAGGGGCCAGGGAGGAGGAGGTCAGGGGGCGTTGAGCCTGGCCTTCTGGGGATGGCACCACCACAGACAGGGTGGAACAGGCGCACGTCTGTCACAGCTACTCCCACCACAGAGGAAAGTGGAAAAGTACGAAGTAGTGGTACACACGGGACGGTGTGATCATCAGACAGGTGCATTACAAGTTTGGTCCCAAGACCTGGAGAGTCAGCGAGATCCTCATCAGGCCGGGCATTAGAATGAGGGCAGAATTGCTCACCTGGCACACTGGGGAAGGAGCAGGAGGACCTGGGGGGTAGAGAAGGCCCAAACAGCTACGGGAATGAGGACAACGCACAGATCGGGGCAGAGGAAACCCCCAGGCAAGCTGCGGGCAGAAACTGGGACATTCAGGTGAAAACACCCCATCTAAGGGCAGAAGAAAGGCCTGGCAACAGTGGCTAAAGATCCAGACAAATCGGGTGCAAAACCAGCACACCCATCTGAGTAGGGCTGCACCACACGAACAACACCGACAACCAGCTGCTGCCCAGCAGACCCACCTCGGTGCACCAGCGCCCCGGTGCTCACAGGCTGTGGCCGTTGGGAAGCTGTTGCCAGGCCTGCTCTCTGAGGAGCTTCCTTCTGGGTGAATCTGAACTGCTAGCCTTCCACTGAGCCACTCATGTGGTGGCCCGGGACTGGTGACAAGCCGTGAGCACAGGCACTCAGGCAGGCCTCGGCCTGGAACGGCTGGGAGGGCTCCAGCAGAGACAAACCCTCTATGGCAGAGGTTCTCAACCTGTGGGGCTCGACCCCTTTGGGGAGGGGTGTAGAATGACCCTTTCATAGGGGTCACCTGATTCATAAGAGTAACAAAATGACAGTGATGAAGTAGCAACGAAAATAATGTTATGGTTGGGGGGGTCACCACAACATGAGGAACTGTATAACAGGGTCACAGCAGCAGCCACGCCACGTGGCTGCCGGCTTCTGAGGCTCAGGCTTTCACTGTGGCTGCGCGCTGTCCAGGCAATTCTGAGCCACCGCGGCGACCCCCACAGCAGAGAGCACCGCCCCTGTATCTTTCCAAGGCTGTGCAAGTTGACTGGAGCAGACCACCAACTGAGCACTTTAACCACGGCACCACGGGGTGTTGCCGACATGATGCCGACGTCTCCTTATCGGCTGACCTGCTGCCCGAAGCTCAGCCCACGCCTCACAGAGCCCATACAGGGAAGAGGGAAGACCACAGCCCCATCCGAGGGCTACATGCCGGCACCAGGGCGCTTCGGAGGCCAAAGTCAGCAGGAAGCCTGTGCAGCTGGCCTGGTCCCAGCTCCCCTGGGGCTCCGGCGGGTCAGTGACCAGCCAGCAGGGTCCCCACACCCAGCCTGCTCACCCCGCCCCCAGGGAGCCCTGTCAGCACGGGCTTCTTTCTTAAGAAAGAAGGTTGGCAGATGAGACTGACTGTGAGCCACTCTGCCAGGGAAGACACACAGATTCACGCCGCTGAGCCCCCCACCTGCTGACTCCGGAAACAGCTCTGCACAAAGAAGCCTTGGTGGTGCAGGGAGGGAGCAACTGCTTCCAGCCCAGCAGCTCCAGGGGAGAAAAGACCTGGCGGTCAGCTCCCAGAAAGATGAACCACAACCATCAAAATGAAGCTCACTACCACCGAGCTGATTTTGACTCTTCTTGACCCTGCACAGGTCTCTGAGGCTGTCCTCCTTTGTGGGAGCAGACGGCCGCCTCCTTCTCCGGAGCCTGATGCTTAATCCTCGGCGCCGCCACCAGGGCTCCTCCTAGGAAGAGGGACGCCGGAAAAGGCGGTTAGCGGACGGCCACTCTCGCATGCGCCTCTCGGAAGGGACAGCTCTCCTGTCAGCAGCTGGTCCCTGCACTCCCAGCTGGCACGCCTCCCAGCAGCTCCTCCAAGAGAGCTGCCTGCTGCCGGGCAGACGCTGCCGAACCTCCAGAAACAAGGGCCTGGCCTCGGTCACTGCCACTGCCTGGCCCCTGCAGGGGAACCTCGGCCAACCCACTCCCAACAAAAGCCCAGCACAAAGGGGAAACGTCAGGCCTGTCCCAGCGTGGGACCACTTAAATTGTGTGGCAACATCAGGAAGGCAGTGGACGGGGCAGGGGGGCCTGGGCAGGGAGTTCAGCTAGGCTGACAGGCAGAGGCCATGTGAAGCAAGGGGCCGAGTCCTCACCCGCCCGGGAGAGCAGCTTCCCAAGCTGCTCACCAAGCACCTGGTGAGTGCTCAGGAGTCCCTGGGAAGGCAGCTCCCAGCACTTTGTCACCGAGCACAGAAGGGCACTGCTAGGAGGTTCTAGTCTACCCAGTGGTGCCTCTGAAGAAAAGCTGGGCAATTTACTTCCAAAAACCCGGAGCTGCTACCACCCTCCACTGGGGATCGGCTTGGGGGCCCACCTGGCTGAGCCCCTTCCTCAGCAGCCTCCCTGTCCCAGGAGCCCCAAGGCCTCGGGAGGCAGGTCCTTAGCAGTAGCATCTGTGCCAGGTTTCCGAGGCTTTCTTGGGGAATCTCCCAGATGCCCCTCCTCTGGGAAGCCACTCAGCCCCAGGTGCTGGCATTAGGCTGGGGTGTGGCTCCCAACCCACAGCCGCCCCCCCCCCCCCAAAGCACTGAGGAGCCGGCATTCTCTCCAGCTCCAGAGCCATGGCTGCCCCACAGGGCCCTGTGGAGGACTGCCTGCCAGTGCATGGGAACCTCATGGGCAGCACTTGCCCCTGTGCACCAGCCCCCCACCCCCCCAATCATCACAGCCAGTTCTGGTGCCAGCACACTCTTGCCCGAAGGCTCCCTCTGCCTGTCTCTCCGGGGGCCAAGTCAGC